CTCCTCATGCAACACATCACTCGCATAACTGTTCCTCGTTCTTGTCGGGCTTCCTAATCCCTAATCTGTTCCTGGGCTCGCACCTCCACCGTACTCCTTTGACGCTGCATCCGCAAGACGTTTTTTTTCACGCTCTCTTTCTCTTCCTCGAAAAAATCTCCAGACTCGCACTGCCGCATTGTTTGCGTCTCTTTCCCTTTCTCTGAATTCTGAATCAACAGCTCTGCGTTTTATTACTTCAGAATTTATCTCGCCCCCCTTTTTCTAAATTTTGAATCAACAATTCTACGATTTCACATTGCCTCAGAATTCACTTCCTTCCCCTTTCTAAATTCTGGATCAACAGCTCTGGGATTTTTCATTTCGGAATTCAATACTCTTTCTCTAAATCCCAGGTTGGCATTTTGTCGAAGTCTTATAGCGCTAGCGTTTGCCGACGAATTCCCATTCTGAAATTGCTAAGAACCCTTTTTCTTTCAACATATACGGCATCCTCTTCTCTTCGAATTCTCATCGCCTCGCAATTTGTTCCCCTTTCTCTTTGTGCGTATTCCAAGTTACTTTCCTTGCGCAATCTCAATGCTTCGGAATTCGTCGCTCTTTCTTCTCCATATTCCAAATCCGCCTCTCGACGAGACTGCATTGCTTCGCTATTCGCACATTCCTCCCTCCCCCTGTATTCCTGGTCAATTGCTCTGTGTAACTGCATAGAACCACTACTGACTTCACTTTCTCATTTCTCTTTTTCTCTCTCTCTCTCAGCAAACCGGATTAATTTCACACCGCAACTGCATTATTTCAGTGTTTGCATTTTTCTTTCTCTGTATTCGGAACCAGTGCCTCTGCGAATCTTCAAAGTTTGCGTGTTCGCAGTCCTTTCTCTTTGTCTGCAGCCTTCCACCTGCCACTTCAACTACATGCGCTCTGCTGCATTTCTTGCTTCAGCTCTTTATAAGCTGGATTGGTTCTTGTGGTGAGCTTTGCAGCAGTGTCTCTTACTCGTTCAAGCGCCCGACAGCTATCCAGATGCATTGAGCAGAAGTTCACACCTGCAATCATCACACACGCAAGTTTAGTGCGTAGTATATGCAAAGCATAATAAAACGACTAGGAAATTTATTATGCCCTAACCCGAAGCCTTTGATCCGTTGAATCATTTCTGCATAATTCGCCACAGTTGGATCTCCATGCGGTCTCGCAGGAAATCGGCTGTAACGCTGCGGAACGGTGAATCTCCATATCGCAGCTCCGCTTTTCATACTGATTTGGATGCAACATTCGGCGCGGACTTTTTCGCTCGGCATCGGATTTTTTCTCGGCTGATTTGCCTTTCTGCCTCTGGGTGAGTTTTGAATTTTTGTAAAGTTTTACCATAGCATATGCACAAAATCAAGGATGGTAGTCCCGAAGTACAGCCACAAAATTGGCCATATGAGGCATGACGAGTCGTCCGAATAACTGGATGAAAGAAGCCAGTGCGAGTAATTTTTAGGAAAACTTTAGGAAAGACAATACCCCTCCCCTGAGGGGAAAAACATGCTCGGGCACCTTTCTTAGCCGCCAAGATAAATTTCTTCGAACTCCATATCTTATTCCAGCACAGGAGCAGAACGTTGGTACACGATAGGTCATGACATGCTATATGATCGTTGCTAACCTACAAAGGTTGAATTTGACCTGTCCGTTTAGAGCCGGCCATTAAAACCGCACGTGTCTCCGCTAAACAACAAGGCGAAAATGAAAACAAAATTTGTGTTTCAGCTTATATATAGGCAGCAAACATTATTGCATAATATCAGCACTTTGACTCGCCAAGCTTCCGAATTGGGAAATTTTGCATCTGTAGTTTTGCGTGCTCATGCTTGAGCCTTAAGTGTGCATGGAAGCTAAATTAGAGCGCCCAAAGTCGCATTTAGAAATGAAACATCCTCGTAAGATTTTAGTATTCTATCTGCATGAATTCTGTTCGGAGATACTCCAGCGAATTCTCGCAAGATTTGCCTG